TTAAATAAAATATTTCAAAAGTACTATATAAAAACAAAAATTTTAAAAATGATAGGGATCCACACCCAACAATGGCGATAAAATGACGATGAAATTAAATGGAGTTAATATAGAGAAAGAAAATGAGTTGATATAAAGCTGAGTTGGAAGCAGCCTAACTATATACATGAGCCGGGAGCGCTGTTCATATGATGTCTATAAAAAATAAACAAAATCGATAATTTTCAAAACATGAAAATGTAACATTTTCATATCAAAACACTTTAATGTTAATAATATTATAAATCATCACATTGACTATTTCTCACCACATAATTAATGAATCCTCTGTGTATGACATGTGTGAAAGCCATTTATTTGTTTGGCAGTCGCATATTTCGGCTCATTAACAACATTTTTTCTGCACTAAACAAAAAAACAAAAAACATTATTTGCATTCATAACACATACGGAGTATTATTTTCATTAGGTACTCTGTATAAAAATTGAATAGACAAATGTAGGTTTCTTAAGTTGGTCGCTTGAGAAGGATGTCTCTCTTGTCCTCTTCTCTCATTCGATTCTATCAAAGTTTATTTTGTTTGATTATTTACATGTTTTTAGTTTTAGGGTCGGTTGGTTTGGGTGAAAATATTTTTCTTCAAAAATTGATCTCATTTTTTCATAGAATTTAAGATGGGAGAGGAGTTACTCTCACCTAAGTGGACAATTGTATCATTTTGAATTTAATTGGTTGACCACTTATAATTGTCTCATTCCCTTGAAACCAATATTTGAGAATGCAGCGGAACCATCTATATGACCACGAGTCGCTGGGTATGAACTTGCAAATGAATGATCGGGTTAAATGGGTCACATACCATTTTCCATGCGAAGAACTGGATTAAAGATTTTTGGGCTCCTAGGAACGAACGTCCACACAAACACATTGATAAACAAGGTGGACAACAAAATGCTCGATAAAATGGTAGAATTTAGTATGGGTAAGAGTCACTGTATAGGACAATATATAAGACACTTAGGCTAAATCGCATATAAAGATTGAATCAAAATGATTATTATTTCAATTCAAGAACTTATATTATAAACCTATTATTTCCTTCTTTATTCTGCGATATAGAATGCTCTAGTAAATTATATTTGGAAAAAAGTAATTTCTGTCAAAAAGGAAAAATGACGTCCATTTGGTTTGGACGAAAGTTCATTTTCTTACTGAATCCATTGCATTATTAGGCTGGCTTGATGACCAAAACGATCACCGCTAAAAAACGTTGGGGAAAATATTTTTTCTTAAAAATTACTACGTAGTATTTTTTTTGAAAAATAACTTCTTGGGTAAATATTTTCCCCAAAAAAAAATTTCGATTTGTTTTTTGTATTTGTGCAAGTGTTATCTTGTTTATTTACAAGTATATAAACCTCCCATAGTCTGACTAGGGCCGGCCCTGGGGGTAGGCATAGGGGGCTGTGGCCTAGGGCCCATTTCACAAGGGGGCTCATAATTATTTTTTTTTAATAGTATTAGTAACATATTATTGTAAAAAATAATCAATTTAGGGTTTTAAACTTTCAATTTTAAGTAAATATATGTAGTAGAGTATAATAATAACATGTCACACAGCTCACACTCAATCATTTTAATTTATCAAGTAATATTGCTCTTCTTAAAAAATAATTCGAGAAGCAAAATTTTTTTAATTGGCCTAAGGCCCGTAAAATGTCAAGGCCGACCCTGATAATCTCTTATCATATTTTCATGTTTATTCACATTCTTACGGGGGTTGTATCTTAGCTGCTCGATATATATAGTAGTGCCACAAGTGGTTAGATAAGATTTGAATCCTGACAAGTGGCAATGATATAAAATTCAGGGAAACACATATCATCCTATCTTGATGAAGCTGAGACTATAGTTCAGTTTAACTTATTTTGACCTACTGCTCCGACCGGTTGTGACCATCGAGTTAGAGGATATAGGTATTATAACTTTTAAGTTTGTTCACATTCTTTCTCATTATAACTTTTAAGTTTGTTCACATTCTTTCTCAGTATAAAAAATTTATACTGACATTTTGTGTCATTGTAAATTATTACAGTAGCATTACAGTAACATTAAATCGTGTACAATTTTTGGGTATAAATAGCTTAATCCAACTTTTGTCATAGAGTTTGTGGGTGATTGAAAAAACAATCAATCAACAACTACCATTTTTTGTGCTTTGTCGTCTCGTTTATGAATGTATTGGTCTTACCAATTAATGACAATTTAAGAAAACACATGTTTTCCAATCACTTACTCTCATTTGTACTTTAAACTCCCTCCGTTTTTTTTTAAAATCCGTTTTTTTTAAAATGGCACTTTTTTTTTTATTTTTGATAGATTTATTTTTATAATTTGATTTTTCAATTAATTTGTATCAATGAAAAATGAGAGACAAATCAATATTACATAACTTATTATATCAATGCAAAATGAATGAAATATATTACAATGATTTTATTTGAATATATTAATCATTTTATTTAAAAATAGAAGTATTTTGTTGAAAAAGTAAAGAAGAATATATTTTAAAAAACAAAGGGAGTAATGGGAAACGTAAAAACTTTTTGTAAATTAAAAAGTTGTAATGCATGCACCAAGAAAAAGCAATGTTACACCAACATATTTTTATAGGTCATATTTTTATACGTCATATGCAAGATTTTATTATATTTATATTCCCTCTGTCTAAAAAATCTCACATTATGCAAAATAAATTGAAACAAAGTTTGAAATTTGTTTAGTTAATTTTATTTAAAGATTCGTATACAAATAAATATTATAACTTTTATATATATATATATATATATATATATATATATATATATATATATATAAACTAGGTCAAAATTTATACTAAGTGAGAGGCGACAAAAATACTCTATTTTATCAACTTATCAATAAAAATGCACTAAGAAAAAAAATTCTTGTGATTTTAAATAGTAAATTGTAAAATTCCACGGTATGGACTAGTGTTGTAAATGATAATCAAAAATTCGATTACCGTCTGCATCCGTATGTGTTTCCAAGAAAAACATCTGCACCTTTATATCCGGTTGATAGTTGGATATAAATTTGGTAATCATATATCCGGTCACTTGTAATTTGTTCTGCATATATATATCCATTTGAGTAACTGTTTATTTATGTATCTGATCCGTTATATATAGTTTTCCCCAATTCTTATTTTTATATATTGCTTTTTCATTAACATCTCAAAGTATAATACATCTTTGCATTTAAAATATGTGTAGACGCACAAATACATGGGTATGAATAGTATGTAAAAATATTTTAAATCATATTTTGCGAATAAAAAATACGGAGTAGTACTTTTGTTCTGATACATTTTCAATCTTTTACTCTTATTTTAACCTTTTTTCTTTAAAAGACTATCTAATACGGAGTAATTTGGAGTAGCACCTTTATATGAAAAAATATTAAAATTAAGAATGTATGAATAAATATTACATTGTACTCCATCCATTCCAAATTGAATCGTCTGTTTACTATTCACACGATTAGACTTGATTGTAATTTCACATATTCTATTCAAATCCAATTGAATTTTAAATGCACACTTTGAATTTTCAAGACAAGACTGGAGTGGGGATACGATTCTTTTAACTAAAATTTGGAGTCTAATAAGAATTTGAGAATTGAGTAATGAAGTCAAGGATCAGAGTGTGAATACTAAAGAAAATTGAGTAGAATGCCATCTCAGTTGGTCCCTCAATTTATTTGTGTGTGGGGTAAAAGATGACCAGTCAATTAAGTTATCACTTTATTTTTGTGGCCTTTAAATTTTTTTCATGGACAATTTATTTTTTCCCTGGTTCAAATAAATTAATTTCATCTACACACATTTTCACTTCTTTTTAATATTTTTTAGTTTTAAATACTTTTTAAAAATTTTGTAAACTCAAAGTGTCAAACTTTTTCAAAAAAGGCGTATTACGTAATTTTCTGTGCTGGATCTTATTACTTATTTATTCATAAGTTATTGACGAGGAACAATTTTTAACTAATAATTTGCTTTTGAAAATATTTTTTGTAAGTTAACTTAAAATGAGATATTAGTCATTTAAAAACAAATTGATAAGACTTACTTATTTTGTTTGACTTATATACAGTTTATAAGTCAACTTATAAATACAGAAAAATAAATGAAGAACTGACTTTTAACTTAAACACAACTTATAAGCTGTTTTATCAATTTATAAGAGCAGCGGAATACCTAATTAATATACTCCCTTATTAATAAATTTTCTCTTCGGTGTGCATTCTGATATATGACTGAAATTAATTCTTTAATTAAATTTATATGAAAATAGGTGTGGAGTATTTCGTAATAAACTACAAGTAATATAGTCAAGTACTCAAGTGTTGCTAATTAATATACATTCTTTAGAAAAAAACTAAAAATTCTACTATCCCAAATGGGAGGTCATCCCCACAATAGAAGATCACAAATTCAAATTTTGGTGGGGATATTGATTTTTTGAGTATTAGTAGATTAAAAGAATTATGTGTAAATAAATATTATCTTACTCTTTCCGTGTAAAAAAAAGAATTACTCTTTACTAATCAAAGATTACAAAAACTTTTTTTTATTTGTACATTTTGATTACTTATTTGATGAACCAAAATATTTTTGCTAGCTCTGTTTATAACATTTTTAACGTAATTTTTAAATATGTAAGTTTATTTTTTATTCTTTTACCAATTTTTAAATATAATAAATTTAAAAAAATAAAAACTTTACTTTACTTTAGGTAAAGTGTAAAATATTTTGAGACGGAAAAATATAATAGAGTTAATAATTTTTTTAAAACCCTAACTTTTAAAGAAAATCCCCTAAATAGGAGTAAAAGATATGTCATATTCCAAAATAGGATCTCAAACTTAAACTCCCTTAAATAAGAGTAATTATTCTAATCTCTATTAGAAATATTTTACAACATAAATTTAATTAAAATAATCTTGTATGAATATATACTGTACATACTTTTATTTAAATAATGGTTCAAATATATCAAATTTTAGTATGGATAAATGGCCGACCTTTGAGGCTACTCTTGTGCATGTAGCCGAGAAGGTCTTGCAACTTCTTGCGCCTGAGGTTTTCGCTGCCGTCAAGAGTGTTGTTGGAGAACAACCTCTGATGACAGATTTTCCTCAGGTCTTGCCAGACCGGGAGGAAAACCAGGCTGGACAGGTTGTGGTCGTGAACGGTCGTGACGTCGGGCATGGAGCGGTCGGAGAACAAGGCGTCATGGGTGTGAAGGATCTCCTTCACCATGGCGGCCGAGGAGACGATCACGGTCGTCTCCCGGCCGGCAATTTGCACCCGCATTACGGGCCGTACTCCTCCGCGAGCTTCGCCAATGTCTGTTGTGGCTTGTGGAACAAGTCCGAGAGGTTGGAGATGAGGGTAAAAATGGAAGGCCCGGGTAGGAGCTTCTTTTGGTGTTTGGTTTTTGTGATGGTTCTTAGGAGTGAGTGGAGAGTGTATAGTGTCAAGAAGAGGAAGAGCACTCCACATGAGCTCATTGAATCCATTTTTCTCTCTCCTACACATTCTAACATGTGTCCCAGCCGTGCCGCCAGCCGTGCCGCATGATTCGCATGGATTTGGTTTGACATTATGTCATTGCGTAACATTGTTACATTATATATGAGCATATATGACATTATATATGGGTATCTATGTTATTATATATTGTCATATGTGACATTACATGGTGCCATGTTTGACATTATTATATCTTTTTTTGACACTGTATTAATTGTGAATGTGGCACTGTGGCGACGATGGTGCAGATTGTGATGGTAGTGTTGTTGATAATGGTATAGAGCAGTGATATCGTCGGTGGTGACGACGAAATATCAAAGGCGTCAATGGTAGGTTTCGTTTGTAACAGTGCGGCGGAGCAGAGGACGGCAGTGGTGGAGATTCAAGTGATAGTGACAGCTGACAGGTATGTGGCGGCGATGATGGCGGCAGTGGGCATCATCGACGACGACAATTGCGGCAGTGAGCGTCGCTGTCGGTAGCATGCTATTGTGAAATTGACCGTTTTTTTAGTTTTGAACTTGGCCACCACTGGTATTGGCCGCAAATGCAGTGCGTGTGGGGAGCATTTTTTGTTTTATTAATTAAATTAGAGTAAATTCTATAATTAGTCCTTTATAACAGGGGGGTTTCCCTATTTAGTCCTCTATTATCAAATATTATCCAAGTGGTCCTTCTTTTATGAGTACCTTTCCACAAATAGTCCTTTTTTGATCTTCTATCATGTTGGTTTTAATTTGAGGGCTAAAAGTATAATTTCACAATGATAATATATCTTTTTTGTTATACACAATTCCAAAGGTTGTTCTGTTTGCGTCGTTTGTGAATTACAGTCGCTTTTTACGACAACTATAGTCTACAAATATAATCTTTCGTCAGAATCCTAGACCACAATCATAGTCATTATTTTGTGTTATCCGCTTAACCAATATCAGAACACGTCACTAGACATAATGTTGACGTCAAATTATATTTTTAGCCTTTAAATTAAAACCAACACGGCAGAAGTTCAAAAAAAGGACCATTTATGGAAAGGTACCCTTAAAAAAAGGACTACGGGGATAATATTTGATAATAGAGGACTAAATATGGAAACCCCCCTGTTATAAAGGACTAATTATAGAATTTACTCATTAAATTAAATCTTTATTTTAACTTTTTATAAAAAAAAATAGAAATCACTCTAAATAGGACTAAAACATAGATAAAAGTACCAAAATAGGACTTTCATGTTTTTTTCCCGAAATAAGACTTCCCCGCACTGTGGTAATGAGACTTTGCCCTGTGGTAATATGACAGTGTACAAGTGCAAATTACTATACGTTTTTGGTAATATATATAACCATGTATGGTAATGTAAGTCCTATTTCGGGAATAAAAACATGGAAGTCCTATTTTGGTATGAATGTGCTCCTTACTTTTAGTTCACAATGCATCTTTAAAACAATGTGCGTGGGGAGCATTTTTTGTTTTATTAATTATGTTTTAATCCTATTTAAAGGAGTTTAAGTTTGAACTCCTATTTTGAGGATATGACATATGTTTTACTCCTAGTTTGTTCCTTCTCCCCTAACTTTTATAGACATTGATACTATTCAATGAGGTGTATTAAGAAGGTGGTTTGGAAATTAGAATCACCAATATGTTTGTGACCCTAGCTTAATGGGATATGCTTCGGTTAGATGACACAAAGCTCACCACTGGCAACTGCAAAGCTCACCAAAAACAACTACAAAGCTCACCAAACTGTAAGGCAAAGCTCACCATATTTTTTCAACATTTTGAATTTTTTTTCTAAAAAATAAAATCAAAGGAAGGGTGCTGATTGGACATTGACTGTTGACCGCCAGCGTTGACCGCCGCCTGCCACCCCGCCGGTCACTGACCGCCACCGCCGGTCACCGGCCGCCGTCACCGATCTCTGGCATCCACCGCCGGTCGCCGCCGCCGGACTCCGGAGGCCACCGTCGATCGTCGCCGGTCACCGCCGCCGCCGCCGCCGATCATTGACGGTCGCTGCCGCCGGACTCCGGGCGCCGGTCGTTGCCTAGGGCTGGGTTGGGAAAACCGAAAACCGCAAACCGAACTGAAACCGATCGAAACGAGCTAGAAAAAAAACAGAACCGAAAAAACCGAAACCGAATGTAAAAAAACCGAACCGAACCGTTAGTGTTTGGTTCCGTTTTGGTTTTCAGTTTGAAAAACCGAACCGAATAAACCGAACTTTTTAGATACTTCGCTTTTTTTTATATAAATATATGTGATATGTAGAAAAATCATAGAAATATAAATGCATATAAATTACTAGTCGATTAAAATTATTTTCTTAACTACTCCGTATTAATTAAACATTTTAGCCATACTATTATAAACTTTTAAAAAATCTAAAAATATAAACACCAATAGCTAATCCAAATAAAGAATTATATTAACATTAAATATTGTTACGAGTAATTTACATATTTACATAAAAAACACTTTGATGTTATAATGAAAATAAAAGTATTATACCAAAAAATACAAATTCTTCGTAATTAATTTTACATACGATGTCTTTGGAAGTATTTGGAATCTCCTAAATGTTTGTTGGGTACTCAGCACATATTTTTTTATGTAAAATTGAACCGAATGATACAATAACCTTCCATTTGATTTTTGTTTTTGTGTAAAACTCAAACCAAAAAACCAAACCTAACACAACATATTGTTATTGCTCCATCGAGTTAGTGTTTTTACAATTTTTTAATGCTTATAAATTTCTACTTTGATAAACCGAAAAAAACCGAAATAAAAACCGTATAAAACCGAACCGAATAACCAACGGTTTACATATTTTTTATGCAAAACCGAACCGAACCGAACCGCCAATTTACCTTCCGTTTTGTCTTTGGTTTTGGGTGAAAACCGAATCGCAAAAACCGAACCCACCCCTAGCCGATCGTTGTCGGTCACTGCCGCCGAACGTCGGCCACTGCTGTTGCTCCGCTGCCGTTGACCGGTGTTGTTATTTTATTTTTAATTAATTTTTTAATTTTTAAAATTTAAAAAAAAGGTGAGTTTTGGGGTTTAAAGTGGTGAGCTTTGCTTTATTTCCAGGTGAGCTTTGCTTTGTCCATTGGTTAGCTTTGTAGTATAATATGGTGAGCTTTGTGTAATCTGACCGAAGCATGTCATCTCACCGTAAAATGTCATCTCACTGGAGTCAATCCCTATATATATAGTATATATTATTAATCTACCCATTTACATCCTAAATTTTACCATTACATTCAAAGACATTTTTGAAATGTCAACACCAAAATAAATTCTCTTATGGTATGTTTGGGAACATGGATTTGGATTTCAAATCCGGATTTGGCTCAAATTCCATGTTTGGGAAACTTAAAAATTTTGAATTTGGATTTGAGTCAAATTCTTCTCATTCATAACAAAGCTTAATTTGAAATCCGTGCACCTCCCCTTGTCATTTGAAATTCAAGATTTCAAATTTTGGAATTGAAATGCATGAATTGAAATGAAATGCTAGTTGTCAAACACTACCTTAAATCTTTTAAAAGTTAAAACCAGAAAAGCTCTATGGGACGGATAAAGTATATTTATGATTATTTTAACTTTTAAGATTGATGTTTTATTTTGTACGATTTTTTAAAAATAGTGAAGAAAAATTAAAAATTCGAAACAAAATAATTATTCCAGACATGGGCACGAGTTAAAATATTTCTCTCGAGTTGAATTGAACAATGGGAAGAGGGTTATGCTACACTTACACCACAAATTGTACCCCATTTGTACACCGCAGTTATACACAAACATTTTGATGGTTTATACCGACATAAGTGTTGGTGCATTAACAAAAATTTACACGAACACAAAGTGTTGATGCATTAATAAAATTTAGTTTTATACCAACACAAAATGTTAGTGCAAAGCTACAGGGTACAAAGTGGGGTATAAGAAGAATATTAATCGAGCAATGGAAAAAAATCGAGGTTAGGTTTGGACTGTAAAGCTAAAGCCCCCAAATTCCTCAGCTAGAATCCTGACAAGAGCACATGACCATGCAGACAGATTTAGACCCACCCCTAAATCACCCCACATGGAATTGTGAGGTAAGACTCTGCAAGACATCTGCCTCTTCAACCTCTCTCTCTCTCTCTCTCTCTCCTCCTGCATTCCCCTCTCCATACAACAATAAAGGATAATAATAATGCGGTTACAGGAGTAGTTTTAGCATTTTCCAGTTTTATTATCTTTGCTAACTCCTCCAATTTTCATCCCACAGTTGCTCTGTACCCTTTCCCCCCTTCTTTTTAGTTGCTTTGTCTCAATATCTTGTGTTTTGGATTTTTCCCTGTTGCATTTTCTTCTTGGGTAGATCTGTGCTTTGTATTTACTTTCTTTGGAGCCGACGGTAAAGGGTTTCCACTGATTCTTGCTCGCATTGCGTTTTGTGAAGATTCGGTGTAAATATCCTCTGTCTACTGGGGAAAGGCAGGATTTTTATGTCTGGGTATCTTGAATTTTTGCTTCTGTTCATAACTGGTTGAGTGTAGATGAAAATCTGGGCGAACTTTCGAAGGAATTTTATTTAGATGAAGGTGAGGTTGTAGTTTAGCTGTGGGGAAGGATGAAAGGGAGGGAGGGGTGGGACTGGTAGGAAATTTGAGTAAATTACAAGGTTTTTTTGTGCAAATCTTGAATATCTGCTTGAGAGGAGCTGTGAAGAACTACTCAAGATTGTGTAAACATCTGTTGCTGGTCAAAATTTTGCATTTTTGGATTTATTGGGAGGAACCATTTTGGGTTTTGGTTTCTCTGACATTTGAAGGGAAAGAAAATGGAACCAAGATACTGAGGTTTGGCCAAGATTTAGAGGCTGAAAAGGTAATGATTATGTAGTTTTGAGTATCTTAGTTCTGTTAAAAGGACTTGGAAGCTGAAGATTGTGTTGGCGAAGAACGGGGGAGCAAATATGGCTGCAAAGCTTTTGCATTCTTTGACAGAAGACAACCCAGATTTGCGAAAGCAGATTGGCTGTATGACTGGGATCTTTCAACTCTTTGATCGCCCTCAAATGATATCCGGAGGAAGGCGCTTAGTTGGCAACAGCCCTAAGAGAATTTCTGGTAATGTTTCATACCCACTTGTGCAAAGCTTCTTCAAGTGACATTGGCTTGTTTGAGTTTGCCTTGTTCAATAACCATCGCCCAAGTTTTCCCTCTTACTTTCTACAACTTTGGAAGTCCACTTATATTTGTTATCTGAAATTTAGATTCTTGATTTTGACAGAAGGCCAAACACACTAGCAATGTATAGGTTCAATTTCATGTGTATATTTTGTGTTTCTGCACGTGATAGAAACCGAGTTTCAAATACCCGGGGACATGAAATTGTACTCTCTAAAGAATTAGATCATCCCAATTCAGTTTAGCAAACCAAACCAAACAAGTACAAGTCAATAAGTCAATAATTCACTAGGAAGAGAATTGTGTGATTTAAACTCTTTGCTATGTTACTTCATGGTTATGCAACCTAAGTAGACACATCACTCTCTTTTCCTGCATTAAAATCACGTCTTATGTTATCTCTGCAGGTAGTTCTCACTTCAATGATGAAACTTCTGAAAAAGAACCAAGCAGTATTTACCACCAGAGATCAACAGCAGCAGTAAGGATAATATTTGAATTCTTTTTTTACCTTTTGACATTGTTCCTCCTAGTAAAGATTTCTTTTTTTTCTTTGATCATCAAGGTTTCAAATTACCTTCTTCAACTTGTTCAAGAATGCTAGTTTATGGTATGGAATTAGGCGCTGCGTTCTTCATAAGTGATTGATGGATGATTTTGTTTGCAGGAAAGTAATCAAACACATAAAAATGCAACGGAGAAACAAAGGTTCTCTACAGAGTCATCAAGACCCTCATTCTCGTCTTCATCTCGCTCCTCTTCATTTTCTTCTCTTGATTGTAATAGAACTGTTCAGCCAGAGTCCGCAGCTTTTGATCGTGCGGTGTTCCCAGAAACTCCTTCAAGAGACCCAAAAAACCAACTTAAAGCATCTCAACAATATGGCAGGCAAATCCTTGATATTCGTGATGTGGTTAAGGAATCTATGAACAGAGAAGCACTCAATATGAAGGCTACACTGAGAGATAAGGTAGCTGAATCTATGGTGAAGCTCAAAAAGGATTCTCCTACGCCTCTTGATCTTAAAGAATCTCTTAGAGTTCTTGCTAAACTTCGAGAAGCTCCTTGGCACTATGGTGAACCTAGACAACTCTCAAGATCACCATCCATCTCAAAAGATGCTCCACGGTTTTCATATGATGGGAAGGAAACTCGTCAGCTATCCTTTGACTCGCGGGACATTTCCAAATCCATATTGAAACAGCCACCCAGACTTTCACTTGATGGTAGAGAGAGCCCGACCCAGAGTTTTCATTCCGACTCAAAATCTAGCTTTAGCTCAAAATCTTCACGACAAACGCCTGCAAGACCTCCAAGTGTTGTTGCAAAGCTAATGGGCCTTGACACACTTCCAGATTCTTCTTCCAACATTTGTCAATTTGATGATCCGATTCCTCTCTCATTGTCTTCAGAAGTAACTGATCAATGTCATAACCGTATCCAAACGTCTCCTAGTTGGAGAAACCCCAGTTCAGGTTTGAAGCCTATCTCAAGATTTCCTGTTGAGCCGGCACCCTGGAAGCAGGCTGATAAAACACAACGGTGCCCAGAGAAGCTAACGTCTAGTAATAACATAGATGCTCCTGCTAAGCTTCCAAGCTCATTTCCGTCCGTTTATAGCGAGATAGAGAATAGACTGAATGATCTTGAGTTCACTGACTCTGGGAAGGATCTCAGAGCTCTTAAGCAGATACTAGAAGCAATGCAGGCGAAGGGACTCCTCGAGAACCAGAACGTTCAGGAGGACTCAAAGTTGTCCGGTCAAAATGAGCAACGAATAAGGGGTTCCAATTCACTAAGGAGTTTTGAGTCCCCAATTGTGATCATGAAACCAGCAAAACTTATGGAACAATCCAGGATTCCTTTTGATAGCAGGGGCTCATCATCCTGTTCCTCCAAAGGCTTCCGTGGTAGAAAGGGAGCTGTTACTATGGAAACAGGTCAGACAACCAAAAACCAAAACCTTAGAGCTTTTCAAAAAGTAAATGCGGTCAATACTCTCGATTCAAAAACCAACAGCAGATGTTCAAAATCTACACAGGCTTCGGTTAGGTCCAAAGAAAACACTGCTACCTCTGGATCATTTAAGACCCCAGGACCAATCAGCCCTAGACTGCAACAGAGGAGAATTGATTTGGAGAAAAGGTCTAAGCCACCTACACCTCCATCCGATCCTAACAGATTGAGAAAACAAATTAACAAGCAAGCAGGGGAGTCCAATTCCCCTGGTGGGAGACGCAGATCAAAAAATTCCAGCATCCAGCAGAATGATGACCGATTGAGTGAGAATGAAATATCTATCCAATCTAATGGGAGTGTAATATCGGACGCAAAAGAAGACTTAGAAGTTACTAGCTCTTTAGCATCTTTTGAGAAAAGCAGCATCCGTAGTCCTATGAAATATGCTGAAAAGGTACCATCCGTCAGTATTCATTTTTTTTCAAGAATTTAATAATTTTAATGAAACATTTGTTTGACTTTTGTTGTATATATTCAGAGATTAAGCTCTGTGCTCTGCGAAGATGGATCACCGGCTGCTATGGCTCCACCTGAGTACCCCAGTCCCGTATCTGTCCTTGACAATCTCGTGTATGCAGATGAATCACCCTTGTCCGGGAAGCGTGTCCCTGAAGTCCTAGGTATTGATTTCCTCTGATTCGTCCTCTTTTCCTTCTGCCCCCTCTCATTTCTGTTTTGTGAAAGCAAACCAAGCTAAGCCCTTACTCACCAGGTGGGGTTGGTTATTTGTGCAAAGAACCTATTCCTTATATTGCATTCCATATATGAAAATACTCATTTTTAGTCTCTACCTTTCCTAGGTAGAGATAGGTCCCCCTACACCCACCCCTCTGAGACCCCATGCGTGGGATTTTCCTGGGTCGGTTGTTGTTGGTTGCGTCAAGTAGACGAATTCTCGTTCTAATCTATGTGCCATTTTCATTAAATGGCTGTAAAAACTAAAAATTTGAAATGGTATATTGTAGAGGTAATATGTGGCAAATATATATTCATAGGATCTGAGGCTAATATGGTACTTCATGGATCCAAGTCATATTACTCATGGCTATACGCACATGCATATATAATCAATCTAATTGTCTGCATATGTAGTCTTTATCTGGGTAAAAAAAAGTTTGTGAAAATGCTTGTGTGGCTATGATTTTGTATTAAAATGTATGACTTTGTCCGAACTATATGCTTGTTTCCAAAACAGTACTTTTATTTTTGTCTAAGAGAGTCATATGTATGCTATAACAGGTAATAGATATAAAAATCCAGATAGGCTCTCCAGTACAGCATCATGTAATCCATCAGATGACCATATCTGGAATGAGACGGCTTATGATGTGACACCAGAGTTCAACAGAAGGAAACTACAGAACATTGACAACCTTGTTCAGAAACTCAGAAGGTTGAACTCAAGCCACGATGAAGGCCGCACGGATTATATTGCATCTCTCTGCGAGAACACAAATCCAGACCATAGATATGTTTCCGAGATTCTATTAGCTTCTGGCCTTCTCCTGAGAGACATTGGTTCAAGCATAACCATGTTCCAGTTCCACCAGCCAGGCCTTCCCATAAACCCCGAGCTGTTTTATGTCTTGGAGCAAACCAAGAGTGAGAGCATCACTGAATCAAAGTGTGAGGGGAAGGCCCATCGCAAGCTGGTTTTTGACATTGTCAATGAAATCCTTGCTTCAAAGCTGGCTTTTTCTTCAGATCCGTGGTCGAAGAAGAATCCCCAGAAGCTGGCGAAGGGTGGTTTAAATGCCCAGAAGCTACTCAGGGAACTGTGCATGGAAATAGACCATCAGTTTCAAGCGAAACCACCCAAATCTGACCCAGAGGATGGGGATGGTGGGCTGAAGAACATGGCATGGGAGGATGTGGTGCATAAATCCGAGAGATGGACCGATTTCACCCAAGAGGTTTCGGGCATTGTGCTGGACATCGAGCGTTTGGTGTTCAAGGATTTAGTTAGCGAATTAGTCCGAGGTGAAGGCGATTGCTCCTCCGTGGCAACCAAACCATCCAATTCCAGGCGTAGACAGTTGTTCATGAAGTAGTTTTTTTTCCTTTTCTTTTCTTCCTGCACTTGTTATTTGATTTACAACGCTTGGTTTAAGTGATTTCCCTTCTCTTTTTCAAAAAAGTTGTGATTTTTATGTATTATGCAATGAAAATGATGTATGAGCAATGCAAAAAATTGCAGTTATTGGATGGGTTTTGAAGGGAAGCTTTCCATTCAGATGTACTAACATTGTACTGATAGAGATTGCAATAAATAAACCATGTTTTTTTATACCGTTTAGATTTAGGGTTTTGAAGGGATTGGGGGTACAGACTTACAGCTGGCTGTCTTGGACTATTGGTTTGGCTTGGCTTATAGGAGTTGGTTAAGGGTTGTTAATGAGCTGCATTTGTTTAAATGATAGGAGTTGTAATACAATTAATGCAATCAAATCTATCTCTTTCTCTCTCAAGAAATGTACTCCGGTATAATGGAAAAAGACTGCAGTAGGAGTAAAATATTGAAAATATATCAAAATAATTTCATATTTCTATTTTCGGAATAGGAGTTAAAATGTATTTACATTACCAATCATGATCATGTACATTAACAAAAATTATAGTAAAATGTACATGTACAGTGTTACATTAACTTAGTGTGAACTCCTATTAAAAAAAATATATGTCCCCAACTACTCCATCTGTCCTAAAACGTTCTTTTCGTTTCTATTTATGAAGTTTGACCAACTTTAGTTACAAAAGAAGAGGTGACAAGATTATACTCCGTACTACGTAACTAATAAAAATAAATAAAAAAAGTGATTAAAGTTTGAATAGTAACTGGAAAGAATGTTTTAAAACGGAGGAGGTATACTTTTGTATTGCTTTTGTTTTGTGTGTACTTCCGAGTAAATCATTTGTGTTATTTTAAGACCATTTATTCTCTTATTCCTAGAATTTTTTAGTGTATATTTTTTACTCTCACATTAAAGAAAGGATGCAATCTGCAAAATTTTTTAATAAAAAAAATTAAATCAAACATCCAAACAAGAGTGTTCAAATTTAATGCTTGAGTTATACTCCGTACGATTTATCATTTGATAAGCTAAAAACTAAATGGTCTATTCATTCTATAATTAAATTTATATTTCTTTTTGGATATCTCAAAATGAATTTTATAATAGAAATTTTTTCACTCTTATTTTTTTCCCTCTATCCCTAAATAATTTTTTCAATTTAATTTTTTGTTGTCTCGAAATAAACTTAACATTATTTTTCACATCTATATAATTATTAACTAAAAATTTAAATTTTTTAAACCCACTGAAAATTAAAACGGGAACTTTAAATTTTTATACCCTTTTTCTCTCTATTTAAAGTTTTCGTTTTAATTTTCAGTGGGTTTAAAAATTTTAAATTTTTAGCTAATATTTATATAGATGAGAAAAATAATGTTAATTTATTTCAAGACAAACAAAAAATAAAGTGAAAAAATTATTTAGGGATAGAGGGAAAAAATAAGAAAGTAAAAAAATTAATAGTCAGGAACCCATGACATAAAATTTCTAGATCCGCTTCTGATTTTGATTATACAAAAGGTATATTTACGAGTAACACAATACTCATTTCATCTAAAATAAGGATTGATGTGTGCAACTAAAACAAAAATATACCGTAGTATACAGTACTCCGTATTAAATAAGTACTCCGTATTTGGTTACTTGAAGTATTCGTCACTCATTTACCCCCACAAATAGTTCCTAGATATAAGCAAAATAACTAGGGCCCAAAAAAACAGAGCAAAAATTGAGTTCTTTCGGAACATCCACAATGGTATTATCTCTCGGTAGATGTGGAGGTGTGGGGACTACCAATTGAGCATTTTTCTCAATATTTAAACCTTTTAATGGTAGCATCTCATATGAATGTCTCATTTTACTCAATGAATGCAGTGGGTCCATATAAATATAATTATATTTTATTTTTTTAATTATAAGTATTTATTATATGATAAAAAATTTAATTAAGATTAATTATTTACTCGTTATTATTAATATTACATTCGTCCTAGAATAAATATCTAATTTTGACTTTTTATATTTAAATTAATAAAAATTGGTCTTTAATTAAATAAAACTTATACTCCCTCCGTCCCTAAATAAACTTGCTCTTTCGTTTTTTACTTTGTCCCTAAATAAACTTCTCTTTTCCCTTAAAAAACCCCTTTTACCCCTTATTTTTTCATACCCTACCTATCACATCATACCTTTTTATTAATAATATACATATCACATCTTACTTTTACACATCACATCAAGGGTATTTTTGGAAAGTCAACATCAAAATATCCTTCCCTTAAATCCTCAAAAAGTCAAAAATGGAAGTTTATTTAGGGACGGAGGGAGTATTAGATATTGATCCAAAAATAAATTTCTTAGTTTCGCAATACCACTGGTCTGGAGATAAACAAGAACAAGTCAGTAATTGTTTTTGGGGGAATCAACCAATCTGCAGAGGTAGAACTGAACTGCTGAGGCTCACAGATATGAAACTGGGTTAGTTTCCATTCACTTACTTGGAATCCCCTATAACTACTGCCAGGTTGAAAGTTCATGACTGTGATGCCCTTCTTGATAAACTTACCACCAGAATCACAGCAGCGTGGAGCTCCAGGCATTTTTCTACGTTGCTAGAATATATCAAAACCTAGTTCATGCCATTACTGCCTAAAGGAGACAAGGTTAGGGTTGGGTAGGTGATCAAACTAAACCAGTCTGGAGAGATTGGGTGTGAAACAAACTAATTAAGGACAGAATTGGCAAGCTCTTGAATATAAATGATATATGTGAGCTTTGTGAAAAAGAAGCTGAGAACTTGCAGCATTTGTTCTGGGAATGTGAAGCTGTACAGCCATTTTATAGGGCTGTAATGGGGGAATTTCAGCTGCAAATGACTGCCAGATATCCAAGGAGGAATTAGGGGGGAAATCCAAAGTATAAAGGGCTATATATCAAGGATGAGGATTTGTCTAGCTAGCAGTTTGGGCTTCATGTATTTATCATATCTGGAAGTGGAGAAATGAGAAGAGGCACCAAAACAAGGAGGAGGAGTTTAACACACAAGCAATACGTTACATTAAATATTATTTCAACTTTTTGAAAGTGATGTAGTATAAGTTTCTGTTCGGTAGATGAGATATGTTTATTTGTATGAAGGGATATTTGATATATTGTAATAAAGATGTGTTTACGGTTCAAAAAAATCTTGAATTTATCTTGTAAAATATTTTAAAATTTTTTTATGTAATTAATATATGATGTAGTTAATATTGTTTCAAAACAAATACTATACCTCCGTCCCAGAGTATTTGTTCACTTTCATTTTTACACACCATCCAATACACTTCTTTAATCCATTTTATCTTGTAATTTGTATATTACCGGAGTAAAAAATTATAGAAATTATATATTAAAATCTACATGTTAAGACAAATCAAACAAGATCACACATGACTATATTTAGGCTTATACGTACATTGAGAGAATTTGATGAGTCAAAGTGCTTGGATGAACAGTTCCAAAAGTCAAAAGTGGACGAATACTCCGGGACGGAGGGAGTACTTAAGAAATTTTTCAAAATAAAGAAAAAAAAGAGTCAGTCCATTAAAAAGCAGTTTGAATTCTAGAAGACTAGAACATTGCTATATCTAATACACCCTCCGTCTCCCAGTTTTTGTCCACTTTTGACTTTTAGAACTGTTCATCTAAGCACTTTGACTCATCAAATTCTCTTAATGTGTAAGCCTAAATATAGTCATGTGTGATCTTGTTTGATTCGTCTTAACTATAGATTATTAATATATAATTTCTATAATTTTTTAATATACAAATTACAAGATAAAATGGATTAAAGAAGTGCATTGGATGGTGTGTAAAAATGAAAGTGGACAAAAACTAGGGGACGGAGAGAGTAGTTTTGAAGGCGCCAAATCTAATTTAATAATAATAAAAACTTTCGAGCCTTCAAAAAAAACTATGAATGCAAAATTTCAAATTGAAAAAAATAATAAATATGACATATGGCACATACATATTGGACCACCACAAAACTTAAAAAAAATAAAGAGTAAATTCTATTATTGGTCCTTTATAGCAGGGGAGTTTCCCTATTTAGTCCTCTATTATCAAATATTATCCAAGTGGTCCTTCTTTTATAGGTATCTTTTCACAAATAGTCCTTTTTTTGATCTTCTATCATGTTGGTGTTAATTTGAGGGCTAAAAGTGTAATTTCACAATGATAATATATCTTTTTTGTCATACACAATTCCAAAGGCTGTTCCGTTTGCGTCGTTTGTGAATTACAGTCGCTTTTTACGACAACTATAGTCTACAAATGTGATCTTTCGTCAGAATCCTAGCCCAGCATTATAGTCATTATTTTTGTGTTATCCGCTTAACCAATATCAGAACACGTCACTAGACATAATATTGACGTCAAATTATACTTTTAGCCTTTAAATTAACACCAACACGGTAGAAGATCAAAAAAAGGACCATTTGTGGAAAGGTACCCTTAAAAAAAGGACTACTGGGGTAATATTTGATAATAGAGGACTAAATATGGAAACCCCCTGTTATAAAGGACCAATTATGGAATTTACTCAAAAATAAATGCCTCTATCCTTCCATCCTCAAGCATCGAGTGCTAGGCCAAACATCTTTCTTTCATTTTCCTCTTTGACCATCTCTATTGGACATCTATCTACAATAATAGCATCCATCAATATTTCACTCTCTCCTCTTAGCATCTCTTTTGAGCATCCCATTGAAGATGGCTTAATTTTGAAATTTTGAGCAACTACGAGAATAAGTGACTCATTCGTCTCCAATAAACGCTCATGCTTACTATTGACAAGATCAAAATAATTTTTTCTTAATACATTTTCTTTGATCATTTTCAAAAATAGTCATGTCATCACTTATTTTGTAGAATTTTTGTGCACTTTTTTAATATATACGGAGCATACTTTAAATTCTTGATCAATTTTCAGTTATAATTTTTTGAAATCAGCTTCAGCCAGACATTGTAAACCAAAACAAGAGCCTTATTTCAAAACTAGGAGAGCAAATAAATAAAATTTAATAAATATTTTATTTATATGATATTCTTCTAAATAATTGTAAACAATCTAAAACATTTGCTTCCGAATTTTTAAAATAATATTTGTAGTTTTTATTATCATATTCTCATCCTATAAAGTTTAACGTCATGTTAACGCTATTTTAAC